TAGTCAAAAAGTAGGATGTGTGAAAGAGGGCCTCAGCAGCTTGTTGTCAGCAGCCCATCCCAAGAATAGCTGTCCCTGACTTGTTGCTGGGACCTCAACTACTGCAGAAGAGTCCATGGAAGTGGGCTAAGAAGGAAGAGGTCTCCACAAGGCTTTCTTCACAGATTTTCATATCGGATATTGTACTGGAAAAGCCAGTGCTGACAAATCAGCAGGCTCTTGAAGAAAGTGCACAAACCCCAGGAGATCTACAGGAAGCTAGAGAGTTGTGTCGGGGACAATGTGCCTGGTAGCCATGTCTTAAGTATTTAACAGCATAGTTCCAATGGATCATGATATCAAGAACTTCTTGGATCTGATCACCCCAGGGCATCCACCAGATTTAAATCTGTATTGAAAATATGGCTCTACAGGTTGGATAAAAGTCATGGAACTAGAGGAGGGGGCAATGTCTCCACCTCTGGTTCTGCCTGCATACACTGAAGGACTAATTACTTGATGTGCCTGCTCCTTCTTCCTTCCTTGATTTTCACCCCTGCACAAAACTATTTCCAAGGTCCAAAGAAGGGGTAATGGAGCTGCAGACATTTTGCCCTCCCCTTCCATGCAAGGTTGAATATGGGTGTTGCGGGGGGAAACAACCTGTCTCTTGGTTCAGATTTCACTCCCTGTAGTAACCACTCCCCAAAGGGAATTAAATACAGTGGGATGATTTATTCACTGTGAATGTTTCTTATAGGAACATAAGACCTGAGCCATTTATTTACAGCGTGCCATCTGAAAAGAGCTAAGAGAACCACCAAGGGCTGTGCTAATGCCTTGAGTCTCTGTAGTGGCAGGAAATAAGTTTGGTGAATTAATGACAGATGAGCCCGGGAAGTGGACCATGCCTCAGCTTTCCCAATGGTTCATGGAATTAATCTCATTACAAATATTTTTTTTTCATTCATCTTGTCCTGTCCAGTCCAGTCAAATAGGTTCTTTTATCCTAAATAACCCCATAGCATCTTAATGTTTTCAACAGTGTATTATGCAACTTGACTTAGCAACTTTTGTTATGTAAGATCTGTTCTTGCTTTCTATGCCAAAAAGAAAATTGAGTGCAGTGAGCGAGACAATCACAGGGCATCTGCTAGACTTAAAGCAAGGATCTGTATTAAGCATACACTGCTGCAGGGAGGGTAAGCTCCATGGAGCTAGACAAAGAAGCAGCATCTTCTGCCCCCAACCCAGGGATAGGGAGTGTTTATTTCATTTTCTTTTTTATGGTGTTCACAATAGTTTATATTTCTGTTAGAGCAGGATCAAAGACACTTGTACAGTATTTGTCTTTCAGCAGAAGTTTAGGAAATTTGTGATGGTCCTTAGATCCTGGGGGACCTCATTCCAATGCTGGCACTAGCCTCTGAGAAAACTCTACCTCTTGCATACACAAGGGATATCCTTGAGGAGAATCCATTGTGCCAATGGAGTGAAGCTGTTGATCATGACTTCACTCCAGAGGATTTAGCTAGATGTCCTGGGTTCAGGCCACTGAGTGTCTTGAAGATAAGAACTGAGACTAGGAGCTTGATTCACAAATTTGTGGAAAACCAACACAGAGAGGTGACATGGCATCTGATATGTTCCTGTGTGGCTGGTGAGATGTGATGCATCCTTCTGGTCTGTGGTTTTGTAAATACTGCAGGCTTTTGTGACAAGGTATAATGCATTATTGTAGTACAGCTAAAAGGTGATGAAAACATTAATAACCAAGGACAGGTCATCAGCTCTTAAGATGGGACAGTATCCCAACCAGCCTGAGAATGTAGGAAGCCATACTCACAGATGTTTTTATGTGAGAGTCTATTATCACAGTGAGGAATGCTGCACTGGAGATTGAATGGACTCGTTATAGCCCTGCCCAAGCACTAGCTCAGCCTCCTGAAGAAGGAGAGAGAGACCCGGCCAGCTTGCAGGCTCTACAGTACCAGTAAGCTTGCCTGCCTGGACACCACTGAAGGGCAGTGCTTGAAGGCATCCTTTGGCATTGACCTTCAGCAGTGACTTAAGGTCTTTCTTTTAACTTTTTGTTAGGAGTCTTGTGAATTTGTATTGTGTGCATTGGAGGCAGGGGGAGGAGTTAGATGTATTTTAGGGGCAAGGGAGTGAGAACTCTGTAGAAGTGGGGTTGTAGGCCTGGAGGTAACATTGGGGGAGGATTGGAGGATTTCTTCTGGAGCTGAGGTGGGGTGGTGGGAAGGGGTGGGCATAGAGTGGGGGTAGATGGGAAAAGGTTTCTTGTAAATGGATCTGAGCAACAGTTGGGAGGCATGGTTAGGATTGGCAAGAGGGTTTTCTTGTGTGGGGGTTTGGACAGGGAGGGGAGAAGTTTTTGGAGGGTTCTTAAGTTTTGGAGTGTTTTTGGGTAATGCTGTCTGTAGGCTGCTTACTGTATGTCACTGAGCTTTTTGGATAGGGCATAATATAAATAAAGTAAATAACTATTATGCACCAAGGCTCTTCTAAATGCTTCCTTCCACCTGTCAGAGTCACTTCAATCTTGCTCAGCTTCAGCTTCTAGTTCAGCTTTAGCCTGCTGCTTTTCATCCATGCTTTTTTTTTTTCCAAGCATGGGGCCATCTTGGTGGTAGTGGTGTGGTCACATGTGGCAGGGCATCTGTCATCTGACCAGTTCTCCTACCAGCTGCTCATAGATGTTGAAGTGGGATGGACAGAGGATTGATCCCTGTGGAACTCCACCAGTCAGGGGCCGAAGGGGGATGGCGCCATTCCCCATCCCCACTCAGTGGGTACATCCCACCTGGAAGGATTCAAACCATTTCAGCACATTCTCTAGGCTCCTGCTACCTCTCTGAAGTGAGACAGCAGTATCTCATGAAAGCTCATCATTCAACTGGATCAATGGCTGGATTTTTAGCCTCTGTCTCTTTATCACATCAGTCTCTACCTACGCAGCTCTTCACTAGAAATTGGTGATGCTGCAGGCACAGCTATAGCAAAGAGATCTTTGCTGAGTAATCTCAGTGGCTGATGTTACATGCCAAGGCCCTAAAACTTATGGAGTAGGATGTTGGTCTCAGCTTGTAGTCAGCCTGAGGTCCTTGTGTCACACAAAGTCAGTCCTGTCTTGATACCCAACTCTGCCAATCACATCACACACTGGAGGATAGACAGGATCTTATCTCAGAGCCCTTGCCTTCCTTTGTCTCCCTCTAACTAGCTAGCTAATACATGAGGGTCCATCTCTGAGTTCCCAACTCTTCTAAATTAGGAAGATTCTCTACATTATAACTGTTATCACTACAGAGGGCCATCAGGAAGCTGGTTCCATGAGCACAAGCCACCCAGCCCTGTCCAAGCTGGAGAGGCAAAGCAGCACTCTGGGATAAATCAGAAGATTAGTGATGCCAGAGGTCTGCCAGCCAGGAGCCCCCAGTGAGGGGAGGGAGAATCTCCATTGGCCATCTCAGAGTATGTCCAGTCCACTTTGCACTGTTTATACTGCACAGGTAGACTTAGCAAACAGGAGAGTGCATTCCTGAAGTTCACTGACTTCAGAATTACTGGGGACCCTTCTATTAGTGATTAGGTCTCACTCCATTATTTTCCTAGTCTGCCACCCAAAACACAAGGAGGTACTATCCCTCTATTCTCATTTTGTCCACCCCTGCTACACACATGCCCTAATCTCCTTTCCTCTACTCAAGGCTGGACCCGGACAAAGAGGCTCTTCCAGCAGATGGAGTAAATTGAAGACAATCCAGGGATTAAAACACCCTCCCATTTCTGGGAAACCAACTGGCAGAAGTTTCCTTCCCAAATCCTGTGTAGTCAGTTGGAAAGCTAAATTGTCACTCTCATTTTAAACATTTATGCCTCAGTCTTAATTCTCTGCGGATCTGATTAAACTGACAGAGAAATGAAAGCTGAAAAAGCGCTTATTATAGAATGAGATGGGGTGAAATGAGACAAAAAAGGGTCACGGCGAACAACGTGTTTCAAAGCCTTCTGAAATTCCATCATCCAATAAGCCTAAGTGTCTACTTAGAGACAAATGGGTGGAACCTGCAATAAAACCAGCTGCTGACAGCTCATTAGTTTTCATTCCAGCACATCAGCAGTATTGGTGCAAGCTAGAGGCATCCCCAGAAGCAGCTTAAATGGTTGGTGAGTCCAGTCCAGTAAGAACAATGATCCAAAGGAAAACTGTGGACCTGAAATTTCAAAAGAGTTATTAGGAATCAAATAGATCATTCACAGACTTGCTGATTCTGAAGGCTCTGGCTTATGCTCACATAGTCCTGCCTCCTTTGAGATATGGGTTCAGAAAAAAAGGGAACTGATATTCCATCAGAACACCAGAGCTTGCTGTAAACCTTTCACTGGCTATATGTGTGTTCTCAATATGCTGCAAGACCATGTGTTTTTAATAAAACATAAGGGTTGCCTTGGACCACAGCAAATAGTTGTTCCATTATTCAGGCATGTGGCAGCAGTCTTGTGTATTAAGGAGCCTCTGATGTGAAGCTAGTTTTAACCAAGCCAGAATTCATGCCATCTTTTAACAAGCTTCAAGGCAAAATGAATACTTTTCTGCAGCAATGAAAAGTATTTGCATTGTGTAAACGTAGGACCTAATTTTGAGCCAAGATGAAGAGATGAAACTGCTTTAAAACACTGGAGCTGC